GTGTACTGATAATAAAAACAATTTGTTACCTTTGGACAAATCTGTAGTGCATTCCTCAAAATGTTACATTTCTACTTAAAGGCATGTCATGGTGTTTTGCCTGGTAGCTTGTTATCATCATTAATAAACATCATTATTAATGCAACTCTTCATTGTCTCTTTTGACTGGTTTTCTCATTAGCGCAGTGACCCACAGTTTGAAGCTGTACATTTTAGCTGTGATTGTTCACGGTGAGCTGTGTGCTGACTCATAACAGGATGTTCAAGAGAGGCAAAAGCAGGTGATGAGGTTGCATCACTTCCAAACACACTGGAAATAATGACTTCTGCTCTGTGCTCCTGATTCCCTCTTGCCACCTCTTCACTCCTGTTTTCTTGGTTATTACATAAGCAGGCCGACGTTCACACCACAGAATGATGGTTTTCTCAGTGACTCTAATCAGCTCCAAATCATTGCCTGCTATGACACTGTCTGTATGTCCTGCTGCACCCCCCAACTATAACTAGCTTATGGTAACTGCTTATTAACTGCAGCTACATGTTGAAGAGTTATCAGCCTAATGATGTTGCGAGGTGCACAGGAATGCTCAAACAGCCCAATGACATTTTCAGCGGTCGTTCAGTGTTGTCTCCTGTAATCTGGCAAAAGCTCTGCATTGAAAATTATGCTCTCTCTCTCTCTCTCTCTTCTGGGTCTGATCTTTATTTCTTCTGCCATAAAAAAGTGTCACATATCAAATTTATTTATTTTAGGATGTAGTTTGATGAACTGTATTTATTTTGTACATCACATAGACTCTATATAAAGGTGGACGTCATGATAGCTCGCTGAAAGTGAAGCCAGGTAGTTCTGTAGTTTTGTAGGTAGTTCTTATCATGCTGAAGTTTTTCCTCTACATTTGGTTTTAATTATTTATTTCATGCCCAAAAAACCAAGTGCTTCCACAGCTCCACCCCTCAATCGCTACTGTGCAGATTCTGGTACCGTATCACATTCTGATATTTTGGCTTTATTTCTGGCTATTTGGAGGAAGTGGAGATGTATTGTCCATCTTTATATACATTCTATGATCTATCCTGCAAGAACAACGGAAATGTGTTGTAGGTGAAGGGTGGAAGAAAAAATTATGAATGAATTTTACATTTTTTTTAATGAAGAAAATGAAATACATCCCATCATCAAAGCAGCACAGATCACTTTGAATAAACAGAACCAAACCATTTAATTGTTGGTGGATAATTTATTGTTTCCATTTTGAAAAAGCTTTCTGTTTGGACTAAGATGTTTTCCTCGTCAAGAAGAGATGTGCAATTAGTTTCCATGGCAACAGTGCTATTCGGTTGGATAATGTGTTTGTTCACAACGACCTAATCTGTGAGGGGGACACCAAGTCAACACTCTTAATTTCATGTTCTGCTCTGGATACATCAGCACACTGGACAATGTGTTTCATCCTGTTTCTATATATTGTATAATGTTTATAATTTCATCATGTTGAATCTGTGTATGTGTGTGTTTGGTTTTCAATGTATCCGACAGAGAAATGACGATGAGGCTGTGGTGGACCGAGGGGGAACGCGGTTTCAACAGAGAACAAACTTCGAACAGGAGGATCTCGAAGGTATACCTCAACCAACACTCAACGCACCAGGAACACACAGAGCCTGAAGCGCTCAAAGGCTGCGGCAGATGAGTCCGCCCACTCTGTCCTTATACTCCTGCTGTTTTCCTCCTGACAGTTTTCTCGTAGTTAAAAGATAAGAGCAGAGTGGGAGGCGAGACTGTAGGTGAGATGAATTCACATCAGCAATTTCATAATCACTGGAAAAACACAGATAATCAAAACAAAAAGATACAAACAGAACAAAGGAGTGAGCTCCCATCTGTATCTGTACACACACACAATGACCCACAGCTTTTCAGTGAAACGTTCTGTCAAAATCTCCATGGTAATGAAGTTGTGGGCTGTACTTTAAAAAATACCTTTGTTTTGCCTCTAGTCAGTGACCATTAAATAACACACACAGTCTCTATCTTTCTGTTGGATGTGTGTGTGCCACAGACTGTATGTAAAGATGGTCGATCAAATAAATAAAACCAAACTTATCAGAAACATGAATACTAGATTATACATCGGTGTTGTAAGGAAAAACTAAAATGACAGAAACAATCTTTGAGAAAAATGTATTTGAAATGAGCTTTGACAAACATGGAGGAGGTGTGCTTTACAAACTATACTGCATCCAGCCACCAGGTGGCGATTGCGACATTTTGGCTTCATATTTGGGGTGCAGTCATCTTTATATATACATTCTATGGTGTTGGTCATATTACCACAGGAGGTTTGGAAACAACTGAACTTAACTTAACTGAACTTAACTTAGCACCTTAACTGGGAACACATTCTTGGAGTAGAAGATTATCAGATTCACTGATCGCCTCCTCTTTGCAATTTCCTTTGAGTTGAAAAGAGTAGTGGAGCAGAAAACAACATAAAGTTTAGTAAAATTAAAAATGTGTGAATTTGAACTGCTCTGATGTGGAACACTTTGGCAGTTGAATGTGCCACAGGGCTCTCACCACAGCAGCCAGAGACAAACCATTCAGGTTTCAGCATGAATATAATACATAAACATACAAAACCTAAACTCAAAGGGTAGCTCAGTGTCTCATACTCTGTCTCCCTGATGTCTCTGAGCTCAGCTCATGTGTCTCTGTCCAGTGTGTGTCTCCGTGAGGCAGCTCAACTGCTGCTTTTTAAACCAGAGGATCAATCAGCTAACAGCTCTCACCTGCACTGATTGAGCCTCTGGTTCAGGTGAAGGTGCTCTCCCAGCCCCCTCACCTCCACTAACACGATAATTGCAAAAATTACCCAAGTTGAATGCATCTAAAAATTAAATAAAGGTTCAATGGGTCCCACTAACTTATACAATAAGAAAAGTAAGTTTTGATTGAAAAATACCTTCATTAAATGCTTGTGTTACAAGTTGTGTTTGGCACATACGATATAAACTATAACTATATATAGTGTATGTGGTTGTCTGAATCCTCATGTCGTACTGCAGCAAGCTGAGCTGGCTGACTTATGAGTGCGTTAACAGATATCTCTCGTTTTCTCTCCATCTCGCTCACACACACACACACACA